GACAAGTGCCACATGAGGTCTCTGGTTTGGCCTCCTCTCAACCAGAGCGAGCTACGGGCAACTCCGATGTCACTCTCCTGCTTCAAACCTTCACTCCAGGACAAGATTCCATGCCCTCACGCTGGCCCAGGGGCTGGGGGTCAGACCCTCACCTGCTCTCGTCCTTGCTTTCCCAGGCAGGCCCAACATGATGTGCAACGAGCTCCTTCTGTGCTGGCTTCAGGCTGCCTGCCAGGCATCCCTACGGCCCTATCTGGTTTAGGTGCACCTCTCCAGTAACTATTTCTGTGTAAATACCTGCCCCCTCGCACTTCCCCAATCCCCTCTGCTAATCTGCTCAGCTGCCTGCTTCTGTGAGAGGAAGTTCTGAGTGTGAGAACCCTCTTAGCTGACACTGGGTCCTAGCACTAGGCTACAAAACCTGGGGGCTCAATATATGTACCTGGTGCCTAAATTAACTGAAGCACTAACACCACCTGTCTTGGAATTCCAGGTCCGAGAGACAGCAGAGAGGGGTTCTGTCTCCCTTCCGAGCACGGCATCAGTTCTCCGCACCCTTGGGCCCACCCCAGCTTCTTCAGACCCAGATGGCCTCAGCCCAAGATGGCTGCCCTGTTCCCATGTGAAGAATGTTGAGGAGCAAGAACAAAGGTCTGGATTGCCTTGGACAGACTGCCAGTAGAAGGAAATGAGCAATAGGGATGCTTGGTACAGGGTGGAAGAACAGGGAGGACGTGTGTCCTGCGGTTATGTCAAAGTCAGCGCTCATCGTGATAAACTTGGAATGTTTAGCTGAGGAAATTTCTACTCAAAGTCTCGAAGGTGCTATCTTCAAGAGGAGAGAGAGGGAAACTCGTGTAGAAACTGTTAACAAATGAACACACACGTAGCCTCTCCAGATAGCAAAAGATGCTGAAATTCAGAAATAGCTGCTGAATGTGTGCCCAGAGAAAAGGGTGAGGGTCTGGCCATGAAACTTTTGCTGAAATTGAGGAAAGAGCAAGAGGTCACATATCTTCACAACCAAACAGGAGGCACCTAGGAAGCCTGAGGGTTCCCCCCGATCCCCCCCGCCCCGACATCCAGAAACACGCTGGCTCACAGCGAGGGCCAGAGCACTAGCAGAAGGGCTGCTGGACCCAGTGCCACTGGCTGCAGGGGCTGACAAACACCTTTCATGGAAAGTGAAAACTCTCGGGGCAGAACACCTTCCACAGGGTGCAGTATGGAGCCAGGAGGATAATCCCAGGCCTGGAAGCCCAAGTTTACCCAGCTCTGGATCCACACCTCCTTGTTTCTTCCCTTTCCCCTGTTTTGAAACGAGCCTGTTTCCTAGGCCCGCCCATATCGTGGCAAGGGACGTGGACCTTCACACTGGTCTCTCAGTCCACAGGTCCACAGCAAGGAGGAGTGGTGCCCAAGGCTGCATGGATCACCTCCTGGAGCCTCAGCCACACCCAACTCGGGTGACCCAGACGCGAGATTATGGACTCTTAACGGACACTGCCCAGAGGTAAGATCCTCGTAACCTTGGCGCGGGTGTATCTGGTACATGGGAGGGCGCGAATCTTCAGGAGCCAAAAGGCAGACTGCAGCAGGCTAAGTCTTAAAATGCCCCGTGACTTCCTGTCCTAATCCCTGGAACTGTGCCTGTGATGAGACTTGGTGCCTGTGATTCTGTTGTACGACACTGCGAAGGCCATTTTACAGACGCAGTCAAGGTTTCTAATCAGTTGACTTTAAAATAAGATTACGGATAAATAAAGGAAATGTATATACAGTCGACCCTCAAACAACATGGG